GTTTTAAAAGAATAACTGAGTGGGGGGGGGAGTAGGAAAATCATGGTGGAAGATAACAATCTCTTCATGTCCTACCTGTGAAATTAATAACAATAATGGAAATAAAAATATTGATAACAAAGTCAATTTATTGTTAAGAATAATGAATCCCTAGTAAACTATCTTGGATTGTGACAGAGTTACCACATCAAAAACATGCTTACATAATTAACTATATAAATTGAGATAAAAGCAATCTCATGCAAAAAAAAAAGTCAGAAAGGCAAAACGAAAACAAGGCAAAAGGCAAATGATCTATCAGGCAAAGGAAAATAATAGTAACATATATGTCAGGTAATTCAATAGCGTTCTAAGTTTATTAAGCGCATTTATTTATCAAGAGAAATACAAAATATTCCAGAAATTATGAAAAACCATTTCACAAAAGCAAATATGCATATTAACTTACTAAATATCTTTGATAATCTCATGATCTAAATTAATACAACAATGAAATACTTTCACATTGGATCAGATTAAATGATGCTAATACCCAGTTGACATAACTGCATTGGGAATCTAAATTTATATATTCTTTCCAGATGGAAATTTTCCAATATGCATTCAAAACCTCTTAAAAGAACATGTGCTATAATCTACTGCTCAACATTAGGAATACGTCTTATGAAAATGACTACAAAACATGGTTATTCAGAAATTTCCATCCAAGTGCTCTTACATTAGTAAGATAAATGTACAGTGAGAAGTAAAGCTCAAAATGTAGGTCCACCATATATCACAAAGATCCAGTTGAAAAGTTTATACTAAATTTGTAAATCAATAAGAGACATAAAGAACTTTTACAATGTTCTAATGTGCTTAGAGACAGGCTATGGAAGGATCGGTTAGATAGCATTCCGTAATATGAACTGAAATGAACAGAAGGCAGATGTTGAAGAGATGAGTTACAGGACAGCAGAACACCATGGGGCTGAAAGAAAAATGATGAGGCACTGTGGCACAAGACTGAAGCTGCAAATTTATCAGAGACTGATGTCAAATAGGATATACTATGTGAAGAAAAGAATATGGAAGATGGTACTATTCTATTTAACTGCCAATGATGATGGTGGCAATTACAGCGAAAAGAACTTTGATGACTGTATTTTTTCTGAGAAAATGACATATTAGAGGCTATGTAAGTACAAATATGTATTGGAAATACATTTTTTTAGAAAGAATGGAGCATGAGATCTGAACATCAGCCACTATACTGATAGCTGAAGCCACAGGAGCGCATGAAAGCTTTGAAGAAAAGTGTTTGAAGAACACCTGAAAACAGAACCTGCTTATACCAGCTGTTATATTATTGTCTCTCAGCTATGTTACAATGTGTTCTTGGTGGACTACCGAGTCTGACTTCTACAGGCTATTTTTCTATTTAAGTTATACTCTGCCTATAGGGGGCACCAGAGGAAGACCAAATGATGCGAGGAGGAACAGGTGTGTTCAGTCCTGCCTACTTCCTGTGGACTTTCTTGTAGCTTCTTGTCTCTCTGCAGTTTCTGTCAGCTTCATTTTTTGAAGCAGCAGTGCCCTCCCATAGTTACACCTGAGTATGACTTGCAGCTTTTGCAACAATTGGAGCACCTAACTCCAACCCATCTTAAAGACATCAGAACCAGCCAACTGGTTCCATCTCCTCCGAAGCCTGTCCTTGAGCCTTGAGAGACACTAGAATCCATAGAGAGGTGGGTGTCCCAGTTCTGAGTCACACATTCTTGATTTTCCCATTAGGAAAGCATTAGTTGCAAAGAGCGTGGTATCAGTCCATTGCTAAAGACAGAAAGTGAAATATAAAGGTAAAAAAGAGCAAATGTATGGAAAAACACTGGAGAAGGAAACTTTAAAATATTCTTTAAATAAGTTTAGTAATAAAATTATGTATTTTAACTTATTTGTTTACAAATTACAAATTCCAGGTACAGTATATTTTCCAGCAAAGGAGAGAAAAGACTAAAGTAAAGATTGTAACATATTATATGTTGCATTATATAGTTTTCCTTTAATATGTGGTTCCCATTCCATATGAAGAAGTTTTTTTAAAGGAAAGAATAATGCCCACTCGGGTGAGTAGTTCCAAAGCCTATCACCATATCTAGGATATAATAAGTCCTCAATGTTTGCTAAAATTCAGATGAAATGATGTAACTCCTAAAAGTCATAGTCAAATGTATATTTCAACTTACGTTGGCACTGATAAAGGATAATTGCTCTCCATCCATCCACCCATCCATTTATTTGAAGTCATGTGTTGAATGTCACAATTTGCGCAAGATTCTGAGTGTGTCAAATGAAAGTCAAAATCTTCTCTCATTTAGTCTTCCTGAACAATGGTAGAAGGAAGAAGTACAAGTACATTAAAATGCATTTCAACAAATGCTTTTTTGAGTCAAGCACAAATTTCTGGAGCCCCTCCAAAACAGACTTAAGGGAAATCTGAGAAGTCTCACTAAGAAGATAATCACCATATTAAGTGTTGTAGGATGGTAAAAGATAGTCAAGGAAATAATACTTAAAGTAATGAAAACATTATGAGTAACGGAATACAGGTGTCAAAAATTATTGTAGGTTTGGGTAAATCAGGTGATTTATAGTATTTACAGATCCAATGCAGGGAGAAGCCACACCATGAAGGCTTTAGATATTATGCTAAGAAATTTGTATGTGTTAGATTAGGAATAATCAGGACAGCAAAACAACCATGGCATCTTAGAAAAATCCCTCCAAAATTAGTAAATATTTTCTCTGATCTGTTGTCAACACTGACAGACTACAGATAGATGGAGACTTTGAGCTCATCAGCACTTAAACTTTTCAGGAAAGACCTAAGAAAGCTAGAGATTAGGCTCTGAAGCCTCTATCACTAGAGAAGCTTGTTTTTTCATACCAGTGTAGTGAGTTAAATATTTCTTTCTGTATGTATCCCATGATATAAAAATGATTGACTGCCATTGGTTATATACTCTAAGTTGGGAAGGATTATATAACATTGGATGAAAGAATACCAGCAAAGAGTTTAGTGGTGAAGTGAAGATTTTCTGGTGAAATGAAAGGATGAAGTCTAGCTGGTTTTTTAGTTAATACAGACAGAAATTAATGATTTTTTGAGTGCTGATGGTGAGAGGAATTGTCCAAATGTCAGCGTTCTGACCCTAAAGGCAGGATAGTCAAAGGTGTCAGCATCTAAAAGTAGAGACTGTAGGTCAAGGAATAGATTTGAATCTGAATTTTATTTCATGTGACATAACTCTGGAAGATCAGGCTGGAGGTGAGTGCCTTGTTGAATGTGAGAATTTAGAGCTCAGGTAACAAGAATTTGAGTAGAAATATAATTGTGGAAATTATAAGCCCAGGCATTGCATCAGAGACTTTAAGAAATATTTAATAATAGAGTGAAGATTCAGAAGAAATATCAAGATGCAGCCCTGGATGGATAAGCATGAGATAGGAATGGGAGTAAGAATAGAGGAGGCAAAATCTTCAGAGTTGTGGTCAGAAAGTGAAGTACAGGAGTTTAAAACTTCTGAGGTAGCGCCATTCTAGATGATAACAAAGTCAGGAGGGTGACCATGGAGATGAATGGTTAATGGATCGTGGAATTGAAGTTAACTTGATTTGAGTGAGTCCATAAATTCTAAGATTAAAATGTTGGATAGGTCATACAGGTTGATATTGAAGTAAAACAGAATGATGGTGGAACTAGGGATGGACAAGGAGAGAAGCCTGAGTCCTATGGGCCAGAGTCCGTCCTACTGTGAGACAAGAACCAAGAGTCCATTAAATGGCACTTTGGTAGGACGACTGAAAATGCTGTAGTTTTTAACCAACATAAAACTCAAAATGAGGTACATTTTTATGTAAGCAGGAAGGAATGATGGTTTCGAAATGATAAAATAATGGAGACTTGGGATTATGCCAAACTGCAACTGGAACTTCTACTATATGGGACCATGAGGAATTAGTTTTTTTTCTCATTCAGATTTAATTAATGCAAACAGTTGTATCCAATATTCTGTAGTGAGAATAAAGTATATTTAAGCTTGTTCACCAAGGAATGGTACTTTCAGAGTTCACATTGGAAGGGCTTACACTCGGATAATTGTTCAATTTAATAAGTATATTGAGTCCCTACTGCATAAAATATATTATTTTGCTTACTGAGGATTGATAGGCATCATCTTAATGTTTTGCTAACAAAACAGTCTAAGGAAGAGGGAGCCTATTAAAGTATACAGAGGCTGCTGGAGGAGCTCAGGAGTATAGCACTTGCCTGGCATGCAAGAGGCATTGTGTTCCATCCAGTACTGCAGAAGAAGAACAACAGAAATACAACTTTTAAACAGTGTCACTTTTCTTCTTAACACAAAGGTTTTTAGTGAGAGAAAGCAAATTACTGCAACCCCCAAGACTCGATATAGTGCTGCCTCATCTATGCCGTTAATAAAAGCATCAGCAAACTCATATATCAACTTATTGTAAACATGTACCAATATATCAGTGCCAATATTGTATTTAAAAATATCTATCACATAAAATGGGTTAAGATGTGCTAAATAGCTTAACACATCATTTTGCTTACCTTGGTGGGTTGGTATAATTAAAAAGACTTATCATTGTCTTATACTTTTCTTTAAATGATATGAAATTTACTTGAGTGGTTGGTTTACCTTCAGGAAGATCACAACAGGTTGGTTTCAGAAAAATAAATCTTAACATTGAATAAGGCATAAATGAGATATCTGCAGGGTTATAGTATTTATAAGCATAAATTTATAAGCATGGGTCTTAGCCCAAAGTGTTTCATGGGAGTCAGGACACTTTTTAGTTACTAAGAGTATCTAGGTTGTTTCTGTTTCTTTAAGCTTTTCAGGAGAGTCAAAGAGAAAAACAGATGAGGAAGGGGGAAAGGGGGGAGAGGAACAAAGAGAAGAGAGGGGAGAAAGACTGACTGTCTCCAGCGAGTCATCAGTAGAGCCTTTCCATAGAAGAAACAGAACCATTTGTTGGCTGTTAGAGGTAGGATTTTTGAATCTGGCTTTGAGGCTCTGAAAAATTTTACAAAAGTGACTCGCTCAGTGTCCTGTGGGGAGTATTGTTAACATTACACAAATAGCCCTCCCACTGTCTGATTTATTTGCTTATAGACAGCATGTATACCTGACCTCCTGAGGGAGCTGCATATCTCAAATTTGGGTGCCATGATAATAATAACAGTTTGAGAGAAAATGAAATAGGCTATAAAGAGAAAGAAAATGGAATATATAAACTATTGTACAGTGTCATGTTCATTTTCAGTACTACATAAAATAATGAAAATGTTTTTCGATAACCTTTGTTGATTTTTATAATGTATAACACACTTTATAGAAAAAGACAATGAATGTACTAAGCAAAAAATTAGTAAAAGTATTTTTAGCTTTTGACTCTAATTTCTACATTATTGCCCATAAGTTTAGATTAGAATTGAATACTGAAATTGAACAGCTGTGAGGTAAAGGATCCTTTATTTTTCCTACCTTTGGCAACTCTGTGTTATTGGTTCAGGGTTCAAGTACAAGAATTATCTCCTGGATAAAACAGTTCAGTATGGAAGACAGCAAAGATTTCGTTTTTCTACTTTCACAGTTCCATTTGCAGAACTGAAACTGTGGGACTTTGAATAAGACTTTCCCATAATCATCTAGCTTTTAAATTGCACATGTGAAATCAGAATGGTTGCTTTTCTAATACCCCTCCCCTGCACACAAATATCTTTCAGTAAACAGGAAAGCAGTAAGTTGTCATTACCACTTGCCACAAGTGCTCAGCTGGCCTTGAATTGGCCACTGCTTTTTGGAAATTAAGAGACATCAAGGAGAGTTAAACCCCAATAGGACTCACAACCACTTGAATGATTAAGGTTCAAAGGTAGATGGAATGCAAAAATACATTAAGCCTTTCTCAAAATATTCATTAGTAAATCAGGCTTATGTTCCCAAGTACATTGAGTAAAAATACCTCCCAATTTCAGCCACCCTTGTCACAACACCATAACCATCATCTGTGAGAGGGAAAATAAACCAGTGGGATATACTGGGGAGAGGATATTGTCAGGATTGATGTAGTAAGAGGATGTAGGAACATAATTTGCACCCCTAATTTATAGCTGCGAGATTAGCATTTGATATCTTGGTATATGGTGGTGTGTACCTGTAATAAACCCAATGATAAACAAATTATACATCCAGAGGGCACAGACTCACATGACCACCCCCACTTTAGAACCAGCTAAGTTTCAGGGGTCTGCACAACCACCCTCAAGACTGATAATTTTCTAGAAGCTCGCAGAACTTGGGAAAGCACTATGCTATGGTTATAGTCTTGTAGAGAAAGGATACAATATAATAGGCCAAAGGAAACAGTCCAAAGTCCAGGAGGGGTCAAATCTCCAGCTTCAATTCATCATCTCCCTTTGGAGTCATAGCGTCATCTCCTCTCTGCCAGGAGGTGGAACAGTAAACCCAGGGGATTGCCAAGTAGGGAAGACTTTAATGTTCAGGCTCTTTCCTGGAGCCCAGTTACATATTGTTCATTTATGTGGCCTTCAGTCTCCAGTCCTTCCTCTGGGTTAGCCTAATGGTCAATTCCTCTAGAGGTTGGAACTGATGGTGTGTAGTTCAAGATTTGCACCATAATTGTTACTGATAGACTCTCCAGTGGCCAGCATCCCCCAGATAAGCACAAATTCTAGGGGCTTAGAGGTCACCTCCCAATAGATGAGAGCAAAGGCCAGGCCTCTCTTTAGATAAGGTTAGTTCTGCACTGTGCATGTCCCTACTGAAGGAGCTAGACTTTACTTGACACCTTGAAACATAAGTCTTGCTCACATCCGGCCTCTAGAGGGCACAGAACAATACGCAGAATTACGTATAACTTACATTTCACATAGAGGACAGAGAAATAGTAAAAACAAATAATCAATGGAAGGTAAGTTATTACCTCAGGATTCTAATAAATATACAGAAACAGTCGAGTAAACTACAAAGTTATTTATGATGGAGCATGAGCCTAGATTTACCACTATTAGTTGATAACTGTTTGAGTTTGGTGCCAACGTTGCTATACAGTATGGTATATGAGAAAGTCTCAAGGCAAAAAGAGCCAAGTTTCTGGATGATAAGATTATATGGAGATATATTTACCTGGACAACAAAACGCATGTAAAATCAGCTAGAAAGTAGGTATTAGGACATTGTCTTAAATACTTTTCTCTCGTGGCTCAGACAAAATACCAGATATCCAAAGCTAAAAGGGTTGGGGTTTATTTGGCTTAAAGTTCATAGAGGTTTCAGTCCATAATCAGCTAGCTCCGAGGCTGGGATGGCCAACAAGTATTGCAGAGGAGAAACAACATGGCACGCACAAGGCAGAATTTACAAGGGTTTTAACAGCATCTTTCAGCCCCTTTTGTCTTACTCAGACTACAAGGATTAGGGTGGTGCCAAACTAATCACTCACATTGTAGTGGTTTAGTAATCACATGCCCTGAAACCCAGCATCACACATTCCAGATTCAATTACCTCTGCAAAAGGAAGTCCCATCCCATCCCCATGAAACTTTAGGGGGTAACATTTAAACACAAGCCATAACAGACACCATATAGAGGCATGTATGAAGTATGTATTATTCTAGAGTTATATAAATTACTAATCCTTTCATTAGTGTAGATGGTTGAAAATTTATTTTATGCGCATATAATCAAACATTGTAGACAAAGTTAAACTACCACAGATATGAAATAATTACCATAATGTATATTGAGTATTTTCTGAATAAAATTGATTAGATAAATATGTAAAGATTTTATTGGTGAAAGCAAGAACATAAGAGGAAAAAAATTAAAACAAAGACTAAGCAGGTCAAATATGAAACAGAAGTATACAGGGAATTCTTTACTGGATGATGAAAATGTAAGTGAGGGATGTGTGTATACGTGTATGTGCGCGTGTGTGTGTGCTGTGTGCATTTATACACTTGTGTGAGTGTTCAGAAGTTGGTGTTGATGAATGTAAAGCCATTCACCTTCAAAAGTTAGTGGAAGTTAGGAACAAGCCCTGACTTTCCATGGAGAGGGTGCAGAGGGGTAAAATGCAAGACTTTACTGGTCCTCAAGCATCACATCTAGTAAATAAGTTTCATCTCTGGAGTCAGATGGCTCCTGGTTCGATTGCTATTGACTTACCCATTATTATCTTGGAAAAATTAAACAATTGCTACAAGTGCCAGTTTCCCATGAGCATGTAACTTTGATAAAGGTTATCAGAGGTATTTATTACGCATTTATTTCATTGCCTAGAAGATAGTAAGCATTCAATAATGTTGACTCCTTAAGTGATCTGGTAAAGATCACTTAATACTATGGCTTGAACATTTGTCCCCATGAAAACTCATGTTGAAATCTAATTGTTATGGCAGAAATAAGAAATGGGACCTTTGAGAGTTAAGGAAGTCATGAGGGCTCCTCTATCATGGAAGGATGAGTGTCATTATATATGTATTAAGCCCCCGAAAGTTAACACAGATAAGTTTGTCCCCTTTGACTCTTTGCCCTTCTACCATGTAAGGCTGTGTAAAGGGTCCTTGCTAGATGTCAGTGCCTTGATCTTGGACTTCCAAGCTTCCAGACTATGATAAAATAAATTTCTGTTCATTATAAATTAGAGCATCTCAGGTATTATAATATAGTATCACAAAACAGACTGAGACACTTATGCAAATGAGTGCATATACTCAGGTTCTGTAAATACAGAATACAAAATGTATAGTCACTTAAATATAATTTATTGTAATATTGTTTGATAAACTATGGCTATTAGAAATAGTTGGTAAGGAATTTAACATTTTTGGTAAATGTTTTGATATATATTAAAAGTTACTTCTACTAACTGTTCCAGAAGTCTATGGGAAATAAGACATCATAGAAATCATCTACAAAAATGTAAAAGTATGGAAATATTTTGGGCAATGTACAGTTGTGAAAGCTAAAGAAATGTCACCCTGAGTAATTTTAAATAGAGGATTCTTCAGTAAAAAGTCTTATTATGTGGATTTCTTCTTTATGTAAACATGGCCATGCATTGCTAGGTTGTTTTCATTATACTTGACAAAATCACCAGTTGGATGCTGGTGATGTCCATGGTTTCTTTTCCCCTAGCCCACCCCAATCAATGGCTGCCTCCTCTAAGGAGTTATGAGCCCTCATTGTCAGACACTCCATTCTTTCTGCCTCCACTGGGTCCTTGAGAGGATTTAGTCTCTTACAGTATAATTTTCTGCTGGAAGAACTGCCACTCGTCTAGATGGTAATCACTTTGCAGTCAGGAATGGTTTCCTTTTTCCCCATTACTGGAGCCTTCTCACTGTGTTACATCCTCAGTCCTTTTTTATTTTGAGACAGGCCTCACTAATTTGCTAAGCTGCCAGTCTGGGCTCAAACTGTGACCTTCCTGCCTCAGCCTCCCACAGTGCCTTTGGATTAAAGGCATGCTCCACCATGTCTGGCTATAGTACCTTTTTCTCTGATGTCTATCTGAGTGTTTTGATGTACAATGGACTTGCCAATATCCATATTGCATATGTTTTCATATTACTCTATTAGATGGGGAAGTGTTCATTTAAGTCATGAGAATAATATTTTCTGTTCCTGCCTTAACAAATACAATGGGAAATCTGGCAGATTTGGCTGAAATCAAGGTATAGGCATGGTTACCTCCTTTACTGGGAGCTCTGGGGCAGAGTCTGCCTCCAAGAGCATTCAGGTAAATAGATCAATTCAGTTGGTTGCAGGTGTAAGTCTGAAGTCTCCATTTGGTTGCTACTTATTGGCTAAGGCAATTCTTAATCCAAGAGGCCTGTGTCTCGTCCTCACATGTACACTCTTACACCTCAGAATCAGCGAACAGATCAAATATTTCCCACTCTTGGCCCT